AGAATTCAGTAAACAAGACACACAATGTATCAAACACACAACTCACACACACATTGGGGGGAGGGGTTTTGGTTTGGTTCAAGTGACCTATTTTTATTGCATGAAAGTAAATGGACTTTGAATTTAAATGAGAATAGCAGAGATGAATTATCAAATTGTGAAATTAAAATGTAACAAACACTAGGGTTTCGGAATCCACCCTAAACAATTCTACCTATGTTCATGAATACTCAAGTGATGAACTCTAAACGTGTTATTGAAAATGCTTGCAATCAAGACCATGGGTCGTGGCTCAAGACGCATTGATTGTCTCTAATATACGTAAAGTGCATGGTTCGTGCTACAATACTTGTGCCCTCCCCATAACCGAACCTAGGTATGGTTCGTACTTTGATTCAATTACAAGGAGAACCCATTAAGTTCAAAGCGAATATGAACATCACAAGAATCCTAATAGCATGGTGTTTACATTAGGTATTCAAGAAACCAATTCACATGGATGATTCTTACTTCATCCATTTATTGCTTAGGACAACATGAAGATACACATAATCCCAACAATCTCAAGAAGCATGCTTTCAAAGATGGCCAACCAAGGAAAAACACACATCAAGGATAGATTAATTTGGTGAATTGGAATTCATCAACAATATCTAGATATTCATACACTCAAGTATCAAAACAATAAGGTTTTCATGTTTAGGGCTTCAACCTAAGCCCTAGCTATGAAGTTTAGTTGCTCATACTTATTCCAAATACAAACTCAAAATAAAATTAGAAAGAGTTTACAGATTTTGAGAAAATGGTGAAAGCTTCAAGGTCTTCAATGGTGGAAGCTTTCTTTTCTCCACTTTGCTTGGCTGCACCTTGGCTTTCTCCTAGCTTCAAGCTCTCCAAAATCTGCTCCCCATGTGTAGAAAAATAGCCTGGTAAAATTACCCACGTTCAAAAGCCTTTTTCCTTCAGATTGCACTCCCATGTGCCTTTTGCCCATCAATTCCAGCTCAAAGATATATATAATATAAAACTCATGCTTTAGTTAAAGCCCTTGCCCTTGTCCCCTTTGCCATGATGAAGCCTTGTCTTCACAAAGATGCCAATTGCTTCAGAAAATATCTCATTTACTAAGGTAATTTCATGTTACCAAGTGTTATGGTAACAAGAAGAATCAAGATGACACAATGGAGGTAAAAGCTGTGGTAACATGCTGGATTGGTTGGATATGCAATATTTGTCCAATGGAGCTCAAATTTGGATATGTTGTAGTCAATATCCATTGGAACAAGTTTCATGAAGTTCTTCACCTCATCCGAGCACCAGAGCATGTTGATCCCAGGCCAAGAAGTTGACCTACGAAAATGAACAAAAACAGAAATTATAACCAATAATGCATTTTTAGCTTATTTTCATTCTAACCAAGGTAAAATCTAAGAAAACACAAAAAGGAAGTAAAAAGCTATAAAATGTCAAGAACTAACTCAAAATAATAGGTGAATAACATGAAAAATCATGTGTAAAAATGAACCGAACACTCCCACCCATCATGGTGGTATGTCTTTGTGCTTCACGTCGAACAACAGAAAACACTTCCTCAACAGATGGTAATGGTTGAGTACGTAGAATATCACTACGTACTTTATCAAAGATATCATCCAAACCCGCCAAAAAGGCATACACACGATCAATTTAGGGTCATCTCGAAGGGTCTTGAGATCCACTGCGCACTCCATCTTGATTGGTCTCCTTTGATCTAACTCCTGCCAAACAGACTTGAGATCAGCGTAATACACACCAACCGGTCGGCCCTCTTGACGGAGTCTGAAAGATTTAACCTTTAATTCATAAATTTGAGAAATATCCGAACCATCATAATAGGTCCGAGCCACCTCTTCCCAAACTTCTTTAGCAGTACGTAGGTGAATAAAAAATCCCATGATAGCAGGTTCCATGGAATTGATCAACCACCCTTTTACGATTGCATTCCCTGTCTCCCAAGTCTCATACCCAGCACTATCCTCAGCAGGTTCCTTGGTACTCCCCGTCACAAAGCCCTTCCTACCACGTCCAGCGATGTGCATCTCCAAAACTTTGGACCAAAGAGGATAATTTGATCCATTCAGTTTCACTGTGTTTGGTACAGCAAACGCATCATTCTGAATAACGACAGGATTCAATACTGGATTATTGGTTGGTGTACGAGAGCTACCCTCCAATTTCAAAACTGCACTATCTTCCAAAGAGGTCATCCTATCTTACAGTGCACAGCTCCTGATGTAGCAATCCACACAACACAGCCAAATCACACACGGCACTATCACACACAGACCCACACAGCCTGACGTTCTACAAGGGAATTGCAGAAACGAAACAGTCGGCCGTAAATAGCAGCGGAAAATATTCTAGGGTTACGGCAACCTACGCTCTGATGCCAAATAGAATTTTACAGGGTAATTTCATTGTATTACTTCCTTGAAATATATACATATACAATCCTTGTTCTACAAGGAAACATTAATCAATAAAGGACACAGCAATAAATCCTTCCTAATAAAGGACTCCAAGTATTCACAATATATTTACATACTTATTTAAATAACTCACGTTTACAAAAACATCCAGCATACCATCCATTATGATTACAAATAAAGTATTCACCCACCTTATTATTCTTATTTTTATGAAACCTTGATGCTGATGCTGACACATCTCCAGCAACGACGTGATTCTGGTTCGAAGGTGTAGTTGTTTCATGCTGGAACATTGTGGTTATATCTTCAGTTACAGTACCCTCATTATTATTCTGCTCGTACACAAGCTGGATTCCAAATTCCTTTATCAACATAGCATCTTCATCTACTCTAACCGAAACACGTATTTCTTCCCCACCCTCCAATTCATCGATTGCGAATCGCCAATGACTAAGCCATAACATATGTTCCTTCTCTTTTGGAAACCCTATTGTGACTGGCACATAGGTCCACTTAAGACCCTTGGTCTCATTACTGATGTGAAGAATGGGAACACACGTGAAAAATTTATCACGAACCTTATTTCCTCGTGCATACACAACACATGCATTTAGGCCTCGGATCTTCAAATTAAGATGTGGAGGTATAGTTATAGACAGCTCAGAGTTACCCATGCTCGACTTGTAGCGGAACCAATCTGGAACCTCGCTCCCAGGAAGGAATATGCTAAATATACCACATTCATCCAGTCCCTGTTTCATGCATGCATGGAGAGATTTATATATGTTCAAATATTACAGGCCACAGAAAATAATCATCATAAAAAACTATACAATACATGAGAAAGAGAGAGAGATAACCTGGAGAGGACCCTTCCTTTCTGTACATGTCAAGTAGTTGTACATTTCAACTTCAGTGCTTCCTATGGATTCCAAATTGAACAGACCGATATCTTTGATCATTTCTATGTCGACGCTTCTCAACGGTCTTGTTTTGAGCACGTTTTGAATTTCAACTACATTCTCGCATGCCATAACCGCGCATCTAATTGTTGGTAACATGTCTGGTAAGTTTAGTAGTACTCTTTTCAATGAATTACATCTAGTTGCGATCAAATTCTCTACACTTGGTGGGAGCTCGGGAATCATTTCGAGGTTTGGGCACATATCCAACGAAAGTCTCTGGAGCTTACTAAGACCATTCAAGTTTACTGGTAGGCTCAAAAATGGGTTTCCATTTAGATCCAAATACTCCAATGAGGATAGGCTACTAGGAAGATCATTGGGAATTTCTGACAGACTGCAGTACGCCATATCTAAGCGTTTTAAAAATTGTGGCAAACTTGCACTGGTAAGTTGGAGATTTTTTCTTGGCAATACCCATGATCGCATTGATTGCCACATACTGAGTTTCTTCATGTCACTAGGTGTAGAGTCTGACTGATTTTTAACGATCATACTGGCAGGCAGCACAAGATTTGAGCAACCAGAGAGAATAAGTATCTGGAGAGATCGCAGCATACTAATTCTTATTGGAAGCTTCATGAGATTTTTGCAATCTTTTAGATTCAAGAAAACAAGTTTCTCCAAATCTCCAATGGATTCATCCACCTCTTTCAAATTTATGCAATCTTTAAGAATTAATTTCTCGAGGTTAGGGGATCCTGACAAGTCAGGGGTTGTCACAAGGCCATGTGAATGACTGAGATTTAAGATTTTCAGTCTTGGAAGAAACTGTTTTAAAAAAGAAGTAATTAGTTTCTATAAATATATAATCATCTTTAAATTTGTCTCTGTGTGTGAGTGTGTGTGTGTGAGAGAGAGAGAGAGAGAGCTAGAGAGAGATTAGTAGCATACCCTAGTTCCCTTCCAAACATGTTGGAGGCTGCTGTTCCGCAAGTCAAGAGCAATTAGATTTTCCAAGTAAAAAATGGTTGGTATAGACTTTAAAGCGAATCCTCGCCAAGACAACCATATTAAATTTTTTGGGAAATCTTCATAGCCTCCACTGATTTTTACATTATCAAGCAGCAGGAGTTCAAGATTGTGCATCCTTCTAAATCCCTCGGTTTTGAAACCTGTCTCATTTGATACAGGAAATGAGTTTGTTGAAGAAAAACTAATTGACTGCCAGGAGAAGAAACCAAGCCGACGTCGGCTGCTTGAACAGTTTCCATCATAATCTTCAACATGGAATCTTTTTCTGTTACTTCCACCGGATGTTATCTTAGAAGACTCATCTTTTATTAACATAGGAATGTTGAGCATGAGGCCCTTAATAGTTTCTGTACCCTGGTAACAAATAAGAACATTGGGTGAGTAACTATGCACAACACAATTACGAATACATAGACGTAAAAGAAGATATTTCTTACAGTTAATTTTCTCAAAACATTAGAGGCATCTTTATTCCACACTCTAGTACGTTTTCCAGGATCCTCAGGCGATTCTTCGCGAATAATTCCCCTTCCCATGTCTTGAAGTAATTGGTGCATGGTTAACTTGTTTCCATGAATTATTAGCAGACATCTGTCAACCAGATTTTGAATTCCAATGTTTGTGGCAAACCCACATTCATCAAGGACTGTAGTTGAAAAATCCTTTTGTCTTCCTATGAAGAAACAGGCTATATGGAGGAACAGACGTTTGTCATGATCTTGCAGAGAATCAAAGCTTACTCTGAGAATCTTTTCAATTTTTCCTTCAGTAATCACATCCAAGTTCTGTAATGCATTTTTCCATACATCTGCAGCTTTTCCAAAGAGAGAAGATCCTAGAACTTTAAGAGCTAATGGAACCCCTCCACAGTGTTGCAGTACAGGTCTTGAAAGATCCATGTAACCTTCGCCAGGATGGGGTTGTCTAAAGGCATGCCAACTGAAAAGCTCAAGTGATTCATTCTCAAGCAACCCTTCCACCTTAAACATTGCACAATTCTCATAAGCCTTTAACAAATGTTCATGTCTAGTTGTTATGATTATTTTACTTCCTGGATGAAGCCATTCTCGCATTCCAAGAATTGCATTGAATTGTTCCAAGTTGTCCGCATCATCAAGAGCAATAAGAACTCTTTCGCAACGTATCGCCCGTTTGATCTTTGTTATTCCTTCATCCAAGCTGTATATTTTCTTTGCTTTCCCCTTTTGGAGATCTGAAAGAAGGTTCCTTTGCAAGTGAACCAAACCATTGGGAAGTTTTGAAGTTGCTCTAATATCTGCAAGAAAGCTGCCACCTTGAAATTTATAGAAATTCTGGTTATAAGCAGTCTTGGCAATGGTGGTCTTGCCAATTCCACCCATTCCATAGACTACAGCTACTCCAACATCACTTGATCCATCTTCTAACCACATGTTTAGGCCTTCCACACAATTATCTATTCCAACTACATAGGGATCGACTATTAATCTCCTATTCCATGTGTGATCCAGTTTATTTCCAATAATTTCAACTATATCTTGGATAAACTGCGACTCATACCTATAAATTATTGATATCAAAATACACAAGGCACAATAAGTTATTTCTTTTCAACAAAAAAGAAACTTATTTCTTTATTATTTTTATTTTTATTTTATAGAAGAGAATTGATATTTATATCATAGGTTGAAATGAATGTTCATACCTATAAATTATTGATATCAAAATACACAAGGCACAATAAGTTATTTCTTTTCAACAAAAGAGAAACTTATTTCTTTATTATTTTTATTTTTATTTTATAGAAGAGAATTGATATTTATATCATAGGTTGAAATGAATGATATTAAGCAAATGAACTTTCAAAACAGAAGTGCTGCCGTCTAACAACTCCATGAGATTAAAGAAAAAGCTTCACTATAATCTACTTTAAAAAGCATCCAAAAGATAGAGTGAAAACCACCATTTTGGGAATGAAAAAGTACCGATCTCCAAAGACCATCCCTCCCAAATCTGCAACATCTCTGAGAGCTTTTCTCCACTTCTCCACCTTGTCCATCTCCTTGTTGAAGCGCTGTTGGTGTCTGGCAAATGCTTCAAAAATTCCTGTCTGGTTCCTGACATGGGATGGATCCACGTCATAGAAAATTGGCATAACCATGTGCTCATTAGTTTCTCTACGGTCCATGATCGTCACTAGTTCATCCAGGCACCATCTCGAGGAAGCGTAGTCCTTGGAGAAGACAATGATGGATACTCGAGACTCTTGTATTGCTTTTTGAAGCTCTGCTGAAATATTTGCTCCTCTCTCGATTTCATCATCATCTCTAAAAGTGTGGATCCCTGCCACCTCCAAAGCCCTGTAGAGGTGATCAGTAAATCCCTTGCGTGTGTCTGTGCCCCTGAAGCTCAAGAATGCATCATAAGTGCACCGGTGAGAGGACGGAGAAGGATCCTGCTGCGTGCTGGTGGCAGCCATTTGTATGTTCAGCTTGTGTTTGTGTTTGAGAGAAAAAATCTTGCTCTATAAAAGAGCAGTCCCGATCTCTTGGACCACAGGAGTCCAAGAGATTATGGTCACCCACCGTTGGATATTAATCTAATGGTTCAAAAAAGTTTCTTAAAAGGAATGCAATAGTAAGTGAACCGTTGAAGACCACAAATTTCTTGGACCCCTGTAGTCCAAGAGATCAGGACTGATAAAAGAGAACCGAATAAAGATAAGAAAAAAAGGAACGCATGACAGAGTCACAAAGTTAGTGACCAAAGTGACAAGGTAACAAAGTCTATGTCTATTGCACCACCAGCCACTGAACATTTGTGATCTCGATTTTCACACTGAGATGCGAGAGATGTATTGAAGACGAAGCTTCCTCCATATTGTAACATCCCGACCCAAAAATATTATTATTCATGAATTTAATTAATAGATATTTATAAAAATACTCAATCCTAGACATGTATTTATAAAAATACCCAAGCACTATTTAAACATAGAAACATACCCAAAATGGGTTTTGGGTATGTGTGTAATGATGGGTTTTGGGTATGTTTATAAATGGGTTTTGAGTGTGTGTAATGATGAGTTTTGGGTATGTTTATAAAGTGTTTTGGGTGTTGGGTATTTTTATAATTTCAGCTCCCATTTTGGGTATTTTAGTGAAACTCCCTTTAATTAATTTCATAAAATATGAAATTTTGCCCCCGAGAGTAAGGGTATTTCGGTCACTTTTTAATCCTGTTCAGCTTGTGTTTGTATTTGAGAAAAAAAATCTTGCTCTATAAAAGAGAACATAATAAAGATAAGAAAAACAGGAACGCATGACAAAGTCACAAAGTTAGTGACCAAAGTGATCAAGTAACAAAGTCTACGTCTATTGCCCCATCAGCCACTGAACATTTGTGATCTCGATTTTCACACTGAGATGCGAGAGATGTATTGAAGACGAAGCTTCCTCCATATTGTAACATCCCGACCCAAAAATATTATTATTCATGAATTTAATTAATAGATATTTATAAAAATACTCAATCCTAGACATGTATTTATAAAAATACCCAAGCACTATTTAAACATAGAAACATACCCAAAATGGGTTTTGGGTATGTGTGTAATGATGGGTTTTGGGTATGTTTATAAATGGGTTTTGAGTGTGTGTAATGATGAGTTTTGGGTATGTTTATAAAGTGTTTTGGGTGTTGGGTATTTTTATAATTTCAGCTCCCATTTTGGGTATTTTAGTGAAACTCCCTTTAATTAATTTCATAAAATATGAAATTTTGCCCCCGAGAGTAAGGGTATTTCGGTCACTTTTTAATCCTGTTCAGCTTGTGTTTGTATTTGAGAAAAAAAATCTTGCTCTATAAAAGAGAACATAATAAAGATAAGAAAAACAGGAACGCATGACAAAGTCACAAAGTTAGTGACCAAAGTGATCAAGTAACAAAGTCTACGTCTATTGCCCCATCAGCCACTGAACATTTGTGATCTCGATTTTCACACTGAGATGCGAGAGATGTATTGAAGACGAAGCTTCCTCCATATTGTAACATCCCGACCCAATGCATCCTCGGATCATTGTAGAGTCTTTGAGGCATAAAATTTCTCATATCTCAACCATGCATGCATCCCTTTCTCATATCTAGTATCATATAATCTGGCTTTTAGCACTTGTCTAACATATCAGACCCCTTGAAATTTGTAGCAGGGGAGAATAATAGCCACACTAAAACCAATGGCCTTACGGTGCCTTTGAGGAATATTGAGCAATGAAAGTTAGTGTGCTTTTATTCGGGCACATAAGAACAATAGAAAATCTGATTGGTCACCATATTAGGCCCAAGAAAAAGATTAAGAATTCACAAAGAACCTATGTCCTTATATATGTACAAAAGTCGAAAGTTTTTAGTTCGCAGGTGCTATATGAACACCACTTGGCTCCTTACTAGTAAATGGTCACTCCTCATTGGCCTATATATGAAAGTTCAGCCCATACAAAAAATAAATAAAAAATGGGATCCCCAAAGGGACAACAAGACCAATATATGCACACGCGTCAAATAGTGATTAGTGTGTACAGAAGAATCACTCCTTACCTATAAGGAACCAAACTTGTTTTTAATTTTTTGGGTATTTGCTATGTACTGTAGTTCTTATGCGGTAAACAATCTGACATTGTTGTTTCAAAGCTAGTGGCTGTGGAATACTTGCAGCAATCTTGATTGACAAGTAGCTTTAAGCAGAAGCAAATATTTTTAACATAAACTTCTACATACCAAGACACAATCGGAATCCATGATGCCAAAGAAAAGACTGACACGCACAAGTTTTTTATTTTCGATTCATACACGCACAAATTTTATTATTAAGCTCTCTCTCATATTAATTATCCGAAGATGCTTTCCTTCTCCTCCTTCCAAGAGCACTCTTCACTTTTGACATCTTCAGTTTTCCATAATTGAAATCATACAAGTGGGATAAACTCTAGCTGTTATGCACGCCTTGCCTTCTCCACCAAAGCTCTCCACTATAGAGTGATCTATCTGCATCAGATGCAAAATTTCAAACGCGTTAGGACAAAAAATTATTATCATGAAATAGGCAAAAGAAAAAAGATAAAGGGAAAAAGTATACGCATGCATAAGGAAGAGAAGGAGCCATGGCATAAAGTTGGTCTAGTGGTGCATGGAATGCTAAGTGTAAAATGTGCAACCATCATGAGTCTAATCAGAATGTGTACACCTTGCATATATGCTAAAGTCTAATCAGAAAGAGGATTGCTCACACATCTGTGATTTCTAGCAGAAGATGCTTGTGAATCTTACAATATTGAGTCTATATGCATCAATGGTCATGAATTAGTCACGTGTCCATGCAGGCACGATTGACTGTAGCATTTCTCTATTAGAAATATAAAAGATTAAAAAGAAAGGAACTTAGTCCTTTTGTGTTCTGAATTTTTTATCTCATTAGGTGGCCATAGCATAGCACTTGGATGGTAGTATGCACAAGGAATCTTCTGAAACAAGCATATGTAATCATGGAAAGTGACTGTCAAGTGCACATATGATGAACCCTTACCAGAAAAGGCAGCAGTGTCTGTCAAAATTTTAACTATGTTATAAGATGCTTTGTACTTTTTCGAAGGAAAACATAGATTCTCAAATGTTTGATGGCGATTTCTGGTGGCCAAGAGAGATTCTTAAACTGAAAAGAAATTTCCCACCAACGCAGTGCATGGACCAAAATGAAAACAACCGCATTGTATCCACTGTGTCTGACAGGACCCGCCCCGAATTTCCTCGAAAACCGGGACGGATCCCGTCTTTAAATCCGGCATCCCGCAGATGCCGGGCTCACTTACTAAAAACCGAGACTTTCTACCAAAATTTTGGCTGAATCTCCCCTGTAAACAGGACAAATCCCAAATTTCAAACCTGCCAAAAACACAGATAAAAACAACCCAACAGCCAGCATGCATTACACAAAGCATAGTGTTACAAACTATGGCCTCCGGCCTCAAAATACCAAATCCTAACAGGGCAATAACAGAGCATGTCTAACAGAATTCAACCAGCCAACAAAAATGAAGTTTTACGAATTTACAAGGTACAGAAGCTCTACGAAAGCTCGGAGCACTGCAGTTCACGGTTCAGGGCACACGACACAGCTCTGCTGCTCGTTCCAATCAACTAATGGCCGTGGGGCGCAAAACAGAAATTTGTGAGTGGACAAAACAAAATTTAGTTCAATTAAACCAAAGTAATATAACCCCACCGTAAGAAAACCATGCATGAAAACGATGCATTAAATCCACCATATACATATATAAATAGTTTGCTCAAACCCGAGCTAAATCCGAAATCCAGTGAAACTTACAAATCAACCCATCCAAACCTTTCCTTACAAATCTCAAATCAAACTCTCGAAACACGTGCCCACTGGCACGACGAGCGGGGAAGTATCCTCGCTCAAAAACAAGAACAAATGTAAAGCTATATATATACATATATATAATAGAGATATAATATAGGTATATGACACACCTAATTGTACCGGGGAAACAATCCAACCGGGGATTGTTTGACTAGCTCACACTTATCCGGCCCTCAAACGTCCATGTGGCTAGGGATGAGTCGTCCAACTGGGGGACTGATACTCTAACCCAGCACGTACGGACGAAGAATCAAGACCCGTACGCCTGGAACCGTCCTACGCGCGCAGACTACCCAATCAAGGGTCTACGGTCAACATCCCGTCAAGGATGCCCCGGCTACTAACATTTCCAAATATTTCACATTTACAAAATCAATTTCCAATCCAGGGGAGGTACACAGGATAGTGCATAAAGCACTCCAAACTGACTTTCTACTCTCGCATCACTCCATGCCTCAAAACCATTTCTCAAGTACCCCCCACAAATACTCAACAAATATAATACTTTCCCAAAATAGCATATACATAAAATTCAAGATACTTGAATATATCCAAAACCCAAATACTTTAACAAAATATTCGTTCAACTTTAAGTATTAGGTAAACTTCCATAAACCTTTAAATCCTTATGCATAGAACTTTCATTATAAAAATCATGCAATTTATTGAAAACAAAGTCCACTCACAAGTAATCCCAAGCTGCGTGACCCTGAGAGGGTCCTGCCTGCTGTGAAGGAGGTGTCGGATTACCTATTTCAGAATACGAACACGATATTAAAATCCAATTCTTCAAAATAACACTTAAAAGAAAATCCTAATATCCCGGGTTTCTCTTAAGTACGAGGAATGAGACGTCTCTAAGATCAAATTAAAGGTTCCAAGCACTGTAAAAGTCTCGGAAGACACTCGGTCAACCGGACGGTCAAAACTTTAAGTTAATGAATCGGAACATCCGGGGTTCCGATTCACGATCTGCGAATTCCTATACGATCCTAGGAATGCCAGGGACAACATACGTGAAATTGGGTTTGATCCAACGGTCC